ATACTTTAATTCTGAGGAGCGCAGACACACTCTTACACACTTGCACGTAAAATCACGGCCCAAAAATAACAAATGTGTCCCACATAGAGAGTTCACTCCAAACTGAAAAGAGCAAAGCAGTTTCCTGTCACGTGTTCTGTCGGTAGCTCTCACTCACCTTCTCTCTCTCTCTCTCGTGATAATTGGCTTCAAAGATCAGGGCAAAATTAGTCCACACTTACAGCCACATTTAATAAGTCTGCTTTTATTGGCTGGTATTGATTAATTAATTGGTTCATTTTATGATCATTGAACACAGATTACATGTTAATCTAGTACTTTTTCCATTTTGTTTCCTTTTTTTTTGACGACCTTTATTTTCCCCCAGCACAAGGACACCTGGCTCACATCATGTTACATACATGATCTATACAAAGCTCTTCCCCCGCTGCCTGGCCACTCTGTTTCCTAGTGTACACTCTGTCTTGTCTCACACTAGCTTTCAGTTTGTCTCTCTGTCTTTCATCTTCATCTTATTCTTTCTGTCGTTTACTATCTTCATCTTCTGCCCATTTTATTTCTCTCAAGTCTCCCTCTCCTTGTCTCTGGTGGTTTTTCTGGCCACAGTTGCAGCTTGTTAGCACCATTTAGAAACTTCTTTCCGGCTCATTTGGCTCTTGGCTCATCCCAGTCACACTGACATTAAGCAGTGTGATGAGAAACTGGGCCCCATGATGGACTTGACACCTCATTCTTTATCAAGAGTCACAGATGAGCACCAGGGAATTTAAATACTGAGCCACGGCATGTTAACAAATATCAGAAGATACCCAGCAGAATTCAGACCTGCAGCTTCAGATGTACTTAGGAGGAAGTCGAAGCTTATGTTCTGATGTTATGTTCTTTGCTCTTTGTTCCTTCCTCAGGTTTAGACCAGCATGCCGTTGGTTAAGAGGAACATCGAACCCAGGCACCTGTGCCGCGGGGCGCTGCCGGATGGGGTGACCAGTGAACTTGAGTGTGTCACCAACAGCACCCTGGCAGCCATCATCAAACAGCTGGGCAGCCTAAGTGAGTATACTGTGCTTCAGGATAAGAATCGTATGGATCTTTTGCTCATACCATAGTTTACTTTGTCATATCTGCAAAGCACTATGAACACTACAGTTGCCAGGTGGTCCTTCCGTGATGTCAAAAAAAAGCCTTTGTGTCACCATGAGGTCACATGCACAACCTCTGAATTTGCCGTGAGCATTCATATCCCAGACTGTCACCTTTTTGGCTCCTGTTTGGAGCCTTTTAAAAAATGTGGTATAAGATTAAAGGACACCATAATAAACATGAGCCATAACCACTTAGATTGAGAATATGTGGTCAGTTTATCAAGTAATGCTGATTTGGGAATGTGCACCAATGTTTTCAGAGATGCCAGTACCTGCTAGCAGAAAAATTGGCTATAGTTAACAGCTACATCTCATTCAGAGCACAGTATCGCAAGGACACTATCGTCCTGTTGTTGGGAGTTTGTACTTAAAGTTTGAGTTTACCAAGTCCCAAATACAGGAGGCCGAACTTGGCATGCTAGGTACTGAAAACCGTCTGTTGCCAGTGTGACTGCTTTTAAAAGTCAAAATGCCCTGTGAAGTTAGCAGGGTCCAGATGCATCATATCACATAGTTACCTTTTTAATGCTGGATTATTTTGCTTATAATAAACCTGTGCTGTTCTTTTTCAGTCATGCAGATATTCACAGGTGATGCTGCTGCTTTTTGGGGCGCGCACCCACATGAGGAGAGAGCTCAGTCTGTAGAAGTGTGGGGAACAAAGACCATTTAAATTTGATTAACAGTCAGGGGCCAAATTCAATTCAGTGACAGCTCACTGCAAATGTGTGAGTGCTCTACCTCTGCTCCATCTGTCATGTTGCGGGCTGAGAGATGAGACAGAATGAGAGGAAAGGAGATGGAGAGCAACTGATGGTGTGCTGTACGTGTGTATATGTATGTATTTTATTTGGTTTGGAGGAGGTTGTGTTATTGAAGAAGGCTGCATTTCTGCATCTCGGTAAATAACTTATTTCTCCCTCTCTCTCTCTCTCTCTTTGTCATGCTGTCACACACACACTCGCAGTCACTAGCCAGTCAGGCAGGTGCACAACAGGAGGTAGTCTGTCCTGCTGGAACAGAGAGACAGAAGAGGCGAAACAGCAGCAACCAGCCTTCAGCTCTGTGAATTTCTCTTCTCATAGATTTGGTGTTTTATTAGTCTTTTGAACACTTTTTACCTTATTGTGTGACCTATATCACACTAAGAATAGTCTAAGTCATAATAATTTGCATTGCCCACATCAAGGCCGATCATTTTCCATATCAATAATATTTTCAACACTCCCCATACAGAGACTAAAACCGACAGTGAGTTGCCTCTACTCACTGTGAATGTCTGTCAGTGTGTCAGTCCTGGATCAGCTTATTTGTCTGTGCTATAGACTCCACTGTTGTTCCAAAATGATTAAAAACACATCAGTGAAACACACCACTGCACTGGGTGACTAGCAAACACCAGACCTGAGCATGAGGACCTGGTTCATAGAGCAGGCGTTATATTTTCATAATGGTCAGTGACTGAACATTTGTAATAAATGTGATGCCAAAGTGTCTTTAACTTGTGGCCGTTCACAACAGTCAACAGTTCGTTGCAAAACACTGTTGCATGCTTCTTTTTAAAAGTATTGGGAGTTTGACTGTCCCTGCAAATTATCCACACTCAGTATGAAATGTCGAGATGTGAAGCAGCACACAACTGTGAATGCTCTGTGTTAACTTTCCCCGGATGAAAGGAAAGATTATCTGAGTACAGAAATAAATTGAGTACCACACATAACCATATGTCTCGGTCCAGGTCGCCACGCAGAGGACATCTTTGGAGAACTGTTTAATGAAGCCAACTGCTTCTATCTGAGGATGAGCAGCCTACAGGAGAGAGTGGACCAGCTGGCCGTGAAAGTCACTCAGCTCGACTCCACGGTGGAGGAAGGTAAGGACTGTGTGTGCTTTTGAGCTGGCTGCGTTCTGATGCTTGGTAGAACTTCTAGCAAGGGTATTTGTGTGTGTGAGAGACAGAGACAGAGAGAGAGAGACCTGTTAAAAGAGGATTACACTGAGTGCTATCAAGGCGCTCAGGTGTGTGGCTCTGTTTTATGCTCTCTATTTTTCCAGTGTGATGGATCATTAAAGGTGCATTAAGTGAGGTCTTATTCATTCTCTGGGGCAGGATGTGGTGGCTCTCTACTATACAACCCCCCTCCATGACAGTCTGCTATGTGCAGTCCCTCTGTTGTTATTCCAGCTTCTCAACCCTTCTCTACTCTGTGGACCATTTCCATGTGTATATTGACTTATTGTTTATGTGAGCAGTTATTTTTCCCTTTGTGTGATTGTGGTTGTGTTTACAGTGTGAGTCAGATTCATTATTCCCATCATTAAGCTTTTCTCCCACTCTGGTCAGTTGTCTAGTGCAGTAATTGAAAGGCCGACACACACACACACACACTACACACTACACACTGGCTTTTGATGATCCAGTTGTTGCTTATAGGAGGGTTTCAGAGCTGAGTATTCTGTTTCTTGTCTTGTTTTTTCCTGTTCTCACCCCTCCTTCCTCACTATTTCTTCCCATTGTTTGCCTCCTTTTATTCTTCCCCTCCACTTTCTTTCCTCTCTCCATCATTCCATCTGTTTACTTCCTTTATTTGATCTCCCTCTCTTGTCTCACCCATTCTCTACTCCCTTTATTTCACCTCTTTTTGTTTTGTTTTCTCTACAGTACATCCTTCATTCTGTCTCTCTTCACTTGTTTCCCATCATCCCATACTCCTCTTCTGTCCCTCCACTCTGTCCTTATATTCTTTGTTCTCCTTTCTTTTCTTTCTCTTCTCTCTCCTCCTTTTCAAATCCTGTTTTCTGCTTGAATATCTTTCTGTCTCAAACTCTCCCTTTCTCTTCTTGTTCTTCTTCTTTCCCTCCCAGTTTTTCTTTTGCTTTTTATCTGCCCTGTTTTCTTTCTTTCCTTTTCCCCCTCTTCTTGCTAATGCTGCCTAGTCATTCTGCAGCACAACAGGCTCAGATAGAGCATCAGATACAGCAGAACAGACAGGATGAAAATCAAAAGCTCAGCAATCCTCTGTCTTATCCTCGTCTTCCACCCCCTCCTGTCTTACTCTCCCAGTCTTCCTCCTCCACTGTTTCATCTTCTTTCCTCCTTCTGTGCACAAACCCTGTCTGTCCTTCCTTTTCTACCACACATTCACACACTGTTACACTACTTTTCTCACATGTTGTATGAGAAATTAGAAAAATGTAACAGAAAAATTTACTGTTTGTGATTTGTGTAAAAACTCTTTTTTTTCCTGATGCAAATTAAAAAGCAATAATTATGATATAGCAGATAAAAAGGTCATTGAAAAATGTACTTGGCTTATTGTGTATGCTTCAGGGAAGTCATTTGTAATTATTAGGGTTACAGTATATCAGAGTATCTACATTTCCAGTGTCTCACCGATAAGCTGTTATCTCATTTGGTTTTTGAGTTTAATCTCTGCTAACTGCGGCTCAGAAATGCAAACTGATGCAACCCTGCAAACCACAAGTTCATGTGAGTGTGAAGGGGTACAAAAGAGAAATTGTGCACTTTGAGTTCACATGCTGGCCACTCATGAGAATCACATTTTCACATTCTGTTCATGGAAATGGAGTGAGTCAGAGCAGTATCACGCTCTACGGGTTAAACCTCTAACATTTAAAGTAGCTGAAGGAGCTCTTTAAAGGTAGGGTTGGTGATCCTGGAGAAACCAGCAAGAGGAAGCTCGATTTTGAAAGTAGACAGCCAAAGAAATCCCACCCTTTCGTTCTGACTTCTCTCCAAAGCCGCTCCTCCAAAACGCAATGTACACTCCACTCCCAACAGAGGAAAGGAGCTACAGGATAGAGAGAATTTGTGTGTGTGTGTGTGTGTGTGTGTGTGTGTGTGGGGAGACAGAGGGAATAAGGTGTGTGTGGAAAGAGAGAGAGAGCAGGAGGCTTCTTTGAAGATATGTCAGAATGAAAGTTGAAATAGCTGCCAGCCTTATGGATTATACTTTCAGCTCCAGAGACAGAAACTTAGGAGGCAATGATCAAACACAGAGCAGACAGGAGTGTGTGCTGACTGCACAACCTGTGGACCCATCAAACCAGTCGAGGGGTTGAGGAAGAGGTCTCTGAGATAGAGATATCAGTATATAGATAGTAGTAGAAACATGTCACATTGACATTGTTTAACCTTATTATATGGGCATTGATCCTGGATGGTGTTTATACCATTAAAACACTTCTGGGACTAAGGGACTGACACACTTGTATGAAGTATTTTCTCTGTCTCTTCCTCACACTTCCTCTCTCGCTCCATCTGTCACTCAGACACCTACTGGCTCCATTTGTAAGCGTACACATCATAGTATCACACAGTCTTACTTTGAAAGAGACATCAGTTCAAATGTGCTTTGGCAATTATTTGGTTAAGAAGAATATTTCAGCCTGTGCAAAGGCTGAATCAGAGAGTCGAAGCCACACAGACTGGTGGGACAGTTCCAAAGTGCCACAAGCAGTTTTCTACATAAGCTGCAAACACCACATACTGTTTTTATGCTTTATTTGTGGAGGGAGATTGGGGGAATAGGCAACTTAGGTTATTGTCTGAGATAACCAAATATTAATGTTGTTTTTATTGCACTGGAGACATGGACATATGAGCACTGGGTATGTGGAGTAATTTCATTACCTGCCGTGACACAAGAACCATTTCTTCCACTGTAAATAAATAAATAAAATACAAATAAAGAAATAACTAAAAAAATATTTCTAATAAGTAAATGAAAATTCATCAACTTGTATTTTTGCTCTGAATTACAGCTTTATTGTACAGAATGCTATTATTAAAATATCTGAATTCTGGCCAGTGAAATTTGCCAACTTGCCAAATTGTCCCAGAAATGCTGGTTTTATTGGATTTTCTTTCTTTTTTTACTAAATAGCTAATAAAAAGAAGTTACCTTGCTTCATTCTCACACTTTGCCTTAATCCATTAGTGTAAACTTTGCCAAACTGAGACCAGAGCACAGAGGACAGTGCCACAGATTCAGGATTTAGCTGCCAAGCCGACACTTGAAGGGTTAAAACGGCTGTTTTGATGGATTATCAGAATCAGAATCTGCTACACGAGGAATTTGACTGTGGTACATTGGCTCTCAATGTGCATGTACATAATCCTCATGTAAGGGATATTATTGTCAATTATATTGTCAAATATGATTAGGGATACACACTGTATGATTCTACCCTTTTAATGGACTTACCGTCAGGTATTTTACTGTCCTTAATGTTTACTAAATGATAACCTGAGACTCCTCTGCTCCTTCTAGTCTCCCTGCAGGATATCAACATGAGGAAGGCCTTTAAGAGCAGCACCATTCAGGACCAGCAGGTGGTGTCGAGGACCTCCGTGCCAAACCCTGTGGTGGAGATGTACCATCGCTGTGACAAACCTCCACCGCTCAACATTCTCAGTCCGTATCGGTCAGTAAGACCCTAACCGTATGTAATCCTCAGTGTTTCTTAAAATAAAAAATGGTTTAACATGTTTGTCCACTTTAGCAAATCCAGTGAGATAACCGTCTCTTAGTGTCAAATTAACAGCACATCACCTAGAACTAACTTCTTGCCAGTGACAGGAACCAGCAAGAGTTTGAGTTTCATTAACTTTAAACTATGTGCATTGTTATTAGAAGATAATTGTCTTAGCTTGGTAGCAAATTGATCTTATTTTACCACTATTTTAACAGTTTGCTACCCACTTAGCCCAGATTATGAACCAAAAACCAATGAAAGAAAAACTCTGTGAGAAATCTCACTAGGTTACACTGAACCACAGGTTAGCTTGGTGAGAATACGGGACTTTCGGTCTTTATCACTGCCCTGTATTTGTTTTTATTGGGCTGTTTCTTCATAAATAAAGACTAGGCAGACACTTTTTTTTTTTCTGCATCCTAACACACCTCCTGCTTTCAACAGAATCTCTGCAGTGATTAAATTTGTATAATTTTTGTATTGGCTCTTGTATTAGCAAGTCAATTCTATTGGCTATAAATTAGTATGGACATTTGCTATTAAACTCTCACAAATCCTGCTTTATTATATCTCAATCTTGCTGTCAACTTAAATCCCATCTACCTGACCCCCCCCCCCCCTTACAAACCTACTAAGATTTTTTTCCCCCTTCTTTTGACCCAATTTCTCTCCATTCGTCCACTCAGAGATGACAAGAAGGATGCTCTGAAGTTCTACACTGACCCATCCTACTTCTTTAACCTGTGGAAGGAGAAGATGCTGCAGGCCACTGAGGACAAACGCAAGGAAAAGAGACGGCAGAAGGTATAGCTGTGTGTGAATAATAGGGGTGTGACGATGCACTTGGATCATGAGACAAGACAACACATGATGATGGGTTCACGAGAATGAGACAATATTTTGACACTTTTTAAGAAATCTTGAATGCCAAAACATTCAATTTGTTTACTTGTTAGTGCGAGCATTAGATGCTATTCACTGGCGAATCTGGGCCACAATTAACGCACCATAACAACACGCCATGCATTTTCATGGATGTGTTTTTTTATCGGTGCCAACACACTGGTAGTTGATTTGGTGCTAAGGTAGAGTAGGCTACATTAGCAGCATGGCTAAACAAAACACAACTGAAACTCCCAGGCTGGAAATGTGAACCAAACCTCTCCTCCTGTTATCCCTCACCTTCCAACCAGTGCAGCCCTGTGCATTAAAACACAGCAGGGAGTTGCGTTTTTACCGGACTAATGTAAACGTGTCATCACACCCTGTCATACTGGCCTGGTTCCGTTATCTGCTGATATCACGAGACAACTTTTAGCTCAGTGAGAAATATCGTCATGTTTTAATATCGGGATCTTGTCACACCCCTAGTGAATGCAGTTGAATGTACAGTATATACGGTATGTGAGGACTCAGTATGTTTGTGTTTCATTGTGCTACAGAATGCTGTGGGTTTGTGCAAGTGTGACAACAGTACAAAAAAATCATCTGATTTAATTTGCTAATCAGTTTCTTTGCTGCCTGTTTATGCTGCTATTTAATTTAATGCATTCCTATCTTACTGTACTCGCCATTTAGCTTTGCTTTATTGTACAGTTGTTTATCGATACAGCAGTAGCTGGACAGGCTCATTATCCACAGACAAACAAATGGCCCAAGAGGAATAAAGCTTTAAACAGTCTAACCATGAGCCATGAACATATTTATACAAGGATGTCGCTCTGATATGCCATTGCAGCCATTACAGTACAGTCTTGTGGTAACAGAAGACATTTTATATGTCACAGGAAAAGCACAGGTGTAAATAGTAAAATCAGTGATGGCTGGATTTCGTACATGCGGACACAGGAGTAGAACATTAGTGTCCTTTGCCTGCTGCGACAAGTCAAAATATCTGCTGTGAAGGTTTATACAGTTTTAATTGCAGCATAACACTGTGTATTAAGCTACTAACTTAATTAGTTTTTAGGGTTTTATTTATAGCTACTAAGGCAGACGTAATAGCAGGAATATTTGTTTTGCTTCTAGAAGCTCAAACCTCTTGAAAATAATTAAATCTGAGATAATAAAATTGTGTAATATTGTACATATATGGGTATGTACATACTGTATATCCATATATGGTGAACATACTGTAAAGAACACAATGTACTATATCATAAGAAATCTGTAATGAGGGACCGGTCTTTCTCGTTTTGAAGGAGTTGATTTATTGTGTGTAAAGCTCTTTTGACCAGTCACTAGGTGTTCTGTTAGAGCAAACTAATTGGCAAAGAGAATGAAATATTTCAGAAGTAAATTTTTTTCCCCTTTGTCTGGGTCACGTAAAAGTGCTACACTCCTCTTCATCAGCTTTCTCCAAGACTGTTTGTCAAACACCTGAACTGCTGCTGCTGTATGCGTTTGCTGCACCTTGTCAGTATTTCTGTTCAGTTTGATGCTGCTCACATTTTCTGTTCCCTACCTCCAACCTGGACACTTGGCAGAATAAACAAACCTTTAGAAACAAAGTAATGAAGTTTTCATTTTAGAAAACAAGAACAAGTCGAAGGCAGGAGGACACTCGACTACAGAGGATGGATCATCCTTTTCTACCTTTTCTCCTCTTTGTCTTCCTCTTTCTTTATTCCGAACTATCTTTCGAGTTACCTGCCCCCGCCCAACAACACCACCACACACACACGCACAAACCCTTCCTCTTCTTCCTCCTCTGCTCAGTCTAATGCGACAGCTTGTCTTTCTCCCATGTTTCCATAGGGCTGTCCGGCCCACCCTGACAGGTCCCACTCCAGACAGGCCCCACCCAGGAGCCCTCTGTCCATCTCCGTAAGACAACCCCGACCCCTAACCTGCCCCATCTTGCCCCCCACTTTACCCACACACACTCCATAACACACACATGCACCCATTACAGATGATGTGCAGACACACGTAGAGACACAGGGAATCAACAAACATTCAAGCACAACACAAGTCAGTGGTTGTTTTTGAGTGGTGTTAAAAGACAGATACACACACTCTCCTCTGTTTGTGTCCATGTGTGTCACATTGTGTTAGCGTGCTACCTCCCCCTCTCTCTAACCCCGCTGTCATGTGTTCTCAGACGCTTTGAGTTTTTTGTCCATCGTCTAGTGTGTGTCGGTGTTGCCTAATAGTGATTGGGGGTGAGTAGACTAGTGTGTGTGTGTGTGTGTGTGTGGTAGGCTCAGTGTGTGTTTAGCCTGTGGTGATGGATCTGGTAATGTGATTTTCCCTGCCCCTCTGCACCAGAAGAATCAATAATCAATGGCTGAGTTTCTCTACACTCCTCTATCTGTCTTTTGCTTTCTGTCTGTCTCCATCTCTGCTCTAGGAGCAGCAGAGGCAGGTTGAGGACCCGGGCAGAGAGGTGAAGAAGGTCAGCATTTATTTACACACAGATATAAATTTCTCCAGCTTTCCAGGTCTCCACAGTGTTAATGGTCTCAGTTATAAATCATTTTTATCAAATTTTAGGCTTTGCAAAGTTCATTTACATTTGTTTCCTACTTAAGAGCAGCCGTTTCGTTCACACTGGTTCTAGACATTGGCTGATAGCAGTGCATTACTGGTTAGCTCACCCGCTTGCCAGTACACAATCCCTGTGTAGAAAAAAGTCTGGCATATGCATGAATGAGCCAATGGTAAAGTCAGTTTTTTATTAGTGAAATTCAAGTGCAACGACCATTACCAGTAAGGAGGGCTCTTAATTACTTCAAAACCCTCTTCAGTAAAAGTATATTGAAGCCATTTCTTTTAATAGATACAGTTAGACACTCTCCAGTATCTATTAACACCATCCCAAATGGGGTGTACAGCTGTGCTAACTTTCCATACCAGAGCAAGTCAACGCTAATGTGATGTGGTAGCACCAGCATCTCGTTTACCACATCCCTCTTTCAGTCTCAACTTTAGCAACATTAAATGACATGATTTGTAGAAAACACTCACTAAAGTTGCATCACACACCTGTGACTGCTTGAAAAAAATCAGTACTTTACTGTTGTTTTATTGTTGAAGGTGCGTAAGGCTCGTAACCGGCGTCAGGAGTGGAACGTCCTGGCCTATGACAAAGAGTTCAGACCAGATGCTAGGCTCACCCCCTCCCCCTACCACGGCATGTCCTCTGAAGGCTCCCTATCCCCTGATAGCAGGTACACACATACAAGCTGTTCCTATATCTGGACCTGTTGCCTCATTATAGTCCAGCCTGACAACACACACATTACTGTGTGGCCCCCAACGTGGAGGGTAAACCATACTTGACACTTGTGGTAGACTGGGTATACACAAATAAACACACACATATTCTGTGGTCAGATTATTAAGACTGGTGTTTGAGGGTGAATCTTGGATGTTATAAAACAAACTAAGCAAATGGGCATTTAGTATTTTCCTCAGTGTAAAATGAGAAAAGGATTTAAACAGTGCCAATCTACTGACCGTATGTTATGAAGATCTGTGCTGCCCTCTGGTGGAGAATGCAAGTCGGAGCATATGCATTTATAGTCCCTGCGGACTTTAGTTTCACATCCAAATATCTGTAGGAAAAGGTAAGATCAGACAGTGGAGAGAAATGGGATCACTGCAGCAGCACAACAGGGATTCAGCAGGGAGTGGAAAATTGGTCAGTGCCATTATTTATACATGTGATGCTACGCAACACACATTTTCATTTTCTGTTTTTTTTTTTTTTAGAAATTCAGTTAATTACTCCAGAATTTTAATATTTGTTTTCTATGTCTTTATATAATTGTAAATCCCTGGGAGAACCTGGAATGTTCATTTGTCTTCATGTACTTTTCAAATGCAGTTTGCTTTAAGTAAGGAGCTCAATCACAAAAAATAAGGAATATTGTAACAAAAAAGGGTGAAATGCATTTTTAAAATTTATAGACTGCAGCTGCATTAATCAGAACCTATCAGAAACCTATACTAAACTGCACTGTAAACTTTTCTTGTGCCTTACAACTGATCAACAGGTCGATGGCATCCGACTCGTACCCAGCCAGCCCCAACCACCCCTCCGCTCAGGCCCCCAGCACCGCCCACCCCACTGACCACCATGTCAGGGATCACCTCAGCGCCACAGCCCAGACTCAATCACTGGATCGAGGCCTACGGCCAGCCAACCAGCCCCCAGGGGCTGGGGGGACTGCGGCTGCGGGGCGGCATGTAGCATCCCTGGGAAGGACCCCCTCAGGACACGGGGTCCAGGCTGGCGGTGATCCGACCGTTAATGGGCCAAGGCAGCAGTCAGTTAAGGACTACCGGGCTGGACATGGGTAGGTTCCAATTAGGATTAGACCTTAATCATTTGGTGATGTTTTAATTTTGATTCTCATGCAAATTTGCTTTTGAATGAGCATAGAACCAAATTGTGTTTCAATGTGTTACTTGAACTGGGAGAATCATTATTAAAAGATTTGCCTAAAGTGTTAAAATAACTATGTTAAAGAGTGTCACAGGTTTCCATTACTGTCTCAGTATTTTCTGTTTATTTTTAGTTTAGATTCTTAAAACCTTATTTCTCTGGAAAGGTGTAGAGTTAGTGCTCTGAGTAATATGGATGTGATTACAGGTTGAGTCCAGCACCAGTCCAGACCACATTAGTGCTTCCCCATGGCTTTTACCTTTTTCTAGTCTATTGGCTAAATGACTGAGTGAAACATGATGTTTAAACTGTGACGGCTGAGTTATTGTCACCTGACTGCTGCTTTTCAAAATGTCTCTCCATGACTTCCGGTAGACCTGACGCTCGTGCTAAACAGGGATGTGAGAGCTACAGTATGAAGTCTTACTCTCACCAGCAACTGCAGAATTGATTCTTTCTTGTCCTAAACTGGAAATCACACTTTCAGAATGACAAAGACAGTCACAACAGTGAGAACATATTAATTAGTGAGCTTTAGAGGTGATAGTAGACAGGGTTTTTACATTTGAGAAGAGCCAGGGGAAGCTGGCATGGTTCCCAGATGTTGTGTTGATTATATTAGCCACATACACACTAATGGGTTTTATGTGGAAGCATCACTTCTCTTCTTTTCTGTCTGCTGTCTCCGCTGTCCCACCCACCTCCTCTGCCCTGTCCCGTCCCTACTCCCCCTCCCCTCCTCCTCTCCCAGCCAATTACGTGCCCTCCCCCTCTCACCCACCTTCGGGTGCGCCCCCTGCAGCCCCTCCTCCTCCTCCACCAGGCGCCCCTGCAGGCCACCAGGCCCACCCCTCCCCACCACACACAGCTGTGGGCCAGTCGGCTGTGGATGCAGCGCCCCCAACAAGGAAGTCCACCATGCTGGGGATGATCCCAATGAGCGACGCCCGCTCCGACCTGCTGGCGGCCATACGTAGAGGTAAGCGTGTGTGTGTAAAGGTTAGAATGTTTTGTGGTCAAAAGTGAAGTGTATACAACTTGTATGCAACTCTTATTATATTAAATACGTAATGTTACATTGGAATTGTAGGATATGAAGAATTTCAAACTATTTTATGTGTTTATGTATATTTTATATGTTCCTTAAACAAAGGTTTCTGATAAATGAAGAAATTGGATGTCCTTAAATGCCACAACACCCTAAACGCCCAGTTTATTTAAATCTGGGATTTATTTTGTTTGGATTTTGATGACTCTGTGGTAGGCACTGTAAATTTACATTACCTTAATAGTAAGTAATTTAAAAGTAACCAGTCACGGATTGTTCCTTTAAAGGTTTAGCTTGCAAAAAGGTTGAATTTGTTAATATTTCTCCTTTTACCTCTCATATGTGCCAGTTTTCAAATTTAACAAGCAGGTACAGTACAGTTTGATTTGATTTATTCTTTCAATCATGTAAAGACAGTTGATATGACAACACACATAATTTTACACATATCCAACAAATGCTAATCCAATATCAATTTGCTTATACCTAGTACATGCTTGAATGGAGTAGGAAGAAGTCAGACTTATCCAGTCCTACCCCATGACATCATCTTACATCATTGGTTTGCAAGCAGTATCTCTACATAAATAATTATCTTCTACACCACACAAGTAATATACTAAAAAATTATAACAGAGTGTTAACATTCTTACATAATTACATTCTTAAATACTTATCTTCTACACCACACAAGTAATATACTAAAGAATTATTACAAAGTGTTAACATTCATACACCACACCCACAATGTTCCATCTAATTAATCATTAAGCCTGTTCTTGCATATATCTTGATTGACACATACCTTTATATTTATGTTTAAACTCATCAATTCTAGTACTATTTTTT